TTAATTTTTGTGCTGTTTTTTATTTATTATTTAAAAAAAAATTAGTGTCTCACAATAGGTTAGCAATAATGTGATTCAATTTCTCTATTTTTAAAATACGTTCAAAACAGCTTAAGAGGCGTGTAATGCCGGTTATAAAAAAATATCATTCGCACACGGATAATAATGTGATTAAATTAATTGTCAAATGATTGTTTTTTATTTTAACAAACGATATTATATACACTAAGGGGTAGGGGTGGGCTTAGTCTCACAATGAGCTAGCAATAATGTGATTCAATAAGTTGTTTATTAAGTATTATTTTCTCTATTTTAAACACTTTCAAAACATCTTAAGAGGCGTGTAATGCCCGTTATAAAAAAAATTCTTTCGCACGCGGATAATAATGTGATTAAATTAGTTGTTAAATGATTTTTTTTTTTTAACAAACGATATATCTATACTAAGGAGGAGGGGGTGAGCTTAGCCTCACAATGGGTTAGTGATAATGTGATTCAATTAGTTGCCTCACAATGGGTTAGCAATAATGTGATTCAATTAGTTGTTTATTAAATATTATTTTCTCTTTTTTTAAATACGTTCAAAACATCTTAAGTGTTACATCCCGGCCCAGGGGGATCACTTCCTGGGTCCGCTCCACCACCGTAGCACGATATTGTCCGCTTTGGGCTTACCATTCCCTCACGGTTTTGTTTTTGGGAACTCAAGATCAACTTCCCAATGGGTCACCCATCATGGGATTGCTCTAACCCCCTTCTCGCTTAACTTCGGAATTCCTACGGAACTCGAAACTAGTGAGCTCCCAAAAGACCTCGTGCTAGGTAGGGATGGGAATATACATTTAAGGATCACTCCCCTGGGCGATGTGGAAATGTCACAATCCACCCCCCTTAGGGGCCCGACTTCCTCGTCGGCACACACGCGGCCAGGGTTAGGCTCTGATACCAAATTGTCACATCCCGGCCCGGGCAAGACCACTTCCTAGGCCCGACTCCACCGTAGCACGATATTGTCCGTTTTGGGCTTACCATTCCCTCACGATTTTGTTTTTGGGAACTCACGAGCAACTTCCCAGTAGGTCACCCATCATGGGATTGCTCTAGCCCATTTCTCTCTTAACTTCGGAGTTCCTACGGAACTCGAAGCTAGTGAGCTCTCAAAAGGCCTCGTGCTAGGTAGGGATGAGAATATACATATAAGGATCACTCCCCTGGGCGATGTGGGATGTTACAATCCACCCCCTTTAGGGGCCCAACGTCTTCGTCGGCACACCACGGTCAGGCTTAGGCTCTGATACCAATTGTCACATCCCGCCCCGGGGCGGATCACTTCCCGGGCCCGATCTACCACCGTAGCACAATATTGTCCGCTTTAAGGTTACCATTCTCTCATGTTTTTTGTTTTTGGGAACTCACGAGCAACTTCCCAGCGGGTCACCCATCATGGGATTGCTCTAGCCCCCTTCTCGCTTAACTTCGGAATTCTTACGGAACCCGAAGTCAATGAACTCCCAAAAGGCCTTGTGCTAGGTAGGGATGAGAATATACATTTAAGGATCACTCCCTTAGGTGATGTGGGATGTCACATTAAGAGGCGTGTAATACCGGTTATAAAAAAAAGGTCTTTCGCACGCAGATAATAATATGATTAAATTACATTAAATTAGTTGTCAAATAATTGTTTTTTTTTAACAAAGGATATTATCTATACTAAGCAGGAGGGGGTGAGTTTAGCCTCACAATAGGCTAGTAATAATGTGATTCAATCAGTTGTTTATTAAATAATTTTCTCTATTTTTAAACACGTTCAAAACATCTTAAGAGGTATGCAATGTAGGTTATAAAAAAGGTTTTTCGCATGCAGATAATAATGTGATTAAATTAGTTGTCAAATGATTGTTTTTTTTTTCTTTTAAAAAATGATATTAGCTTAGTCTCACAATAGACTAGCAATAATGTGATTCAATCAGTTGTTTATTAAATATTATTTTCTCTATTTTTAAACACGTTCAGAACATCTTAAGAGGCGTGTAATGTCAATTATAAAAAAGGTTTTTCGCATGCGAATAATAATGTAATTAAATTAGTTGTCAAATGATTGTTTTCTTTTATTTTTTATTTTTTTTAAACAAATAATATTATCTACACTAACAAGGAGGGAGGTGAGCTTAGCCTCACAATGAGCTAGCAATAATGTGATTCAATCAATTGTTTATTAAATATTATTTTCTCTATTCTTAATATAAAGTTTATAGACCGATTTTATTATGCGAATTCAATTGCTTTAATTGATTTATGAGGGGTTTTTCTAGCATGATATAAGATTATTTATTTACTTCAAATATTTGACTTTCCTTTTATCAATTTACGTATATAAATACATTTAAAACGTGTGCGCATAGTACGCCGTGATTCAAAAAATGTCTTCATCATTTTAATTAGTTTTGTATGCTGTTTTTTTTTTTAATTAGTACCTCACAATAGGCTACCAATAACGTGATTCATTTTCCCTATTTTAAAACACGTTCAAAACATCTTAAGAGACGTGTAATGGCAGTTATAAAAAAGGTTTTTCGCACGCGGATAATAATGTGATTAAATTAGTTATTGAATGATTGGTTTTTTTTTTTTTTTTTAACAAACGATATTATCTACACTAAGGGGGAGGAGGTGGACTAGCAATAATATGATTCAATTAGTTGTTTATTAAATATTATTTTCTCTATTTTTAAACACGTTCAAAACATCTTAAGAGGCATGTAATGCCGGTTATAAAAAAAGGTCTTTCGCGGATAATAATGTGATTAAATTAGTTGTCAAATGATTTGTTTTTTTAACAAACGATATTATCTATACTGTGGGGGAAAGGGGTGGGGTTAGCCTCACAATGGGCTAGCAATAATGTGATTCAATCAGTTGTTTATTAAATTTTTTTTTTCTATTTTTAAACACGTTCAAAACATCTTAAGAGGTATGTAATGCCGGTTATAAAAAAAAGGTTTTTCGTACATGGATAATAATGTGATTAAATTAGTTGACAAATGATTGTTTTTTTTTTTTTTTTTTAACAAACAATAGTATTTACAATAAGGGGGAGGGGGTGGGCTTAGCCTCACAATGGGCTAGCAATAATGCGATTCAATCAATTGTTTATTAAATATTATTTTCTCTATTAATGTAAATTCTATAGAGACCGATTTTATTATGTGAATTCAGCTGCTTTAATTGGTTTATGAGGGCTTTCTTTTATCATGATCTAAGATTATTCATTTACTTCAAATATTTGACTTTCCTTTTATTAATTTATGGTAAATACATTTAAAACGTGTAAGTCGCGCATAGCACGCCTTCTGCACTCGCTCAGAAGGCTAGTTTTGTATTATGGTCGATATCAATCCTAAGAGTCAAAGATCGAAATTGGTCACTTGTCCCTACAGCAAAGTAGTATTTTACTCAAACCCTTGAGCTATATTATCAAACTTAAAACAAAATTAATAAAGTCGAAGACGTTCGCCTAATAATGTATATCGAGATCAACCATTTGAATTTATAAATTCTTATGATATGCACCATTCACTTGTTGTATGTGTTTTAAAATCGTAATTATGGATAAAACGTTAATGTGTAACAGATTTTGAAGAAACAGTGCGTGTCATCTAACCAACCTACCACGTTAAAAAAAAGTATTCGCTGAAGTTTTTCTTTTTTGTATGTGAAACTCGCAGGATGATCGAAAAACAAATGCAAATTCACACACAAAAAGTCATAAATTATTGGAAACATGGGTTACTGATTCTTACATATACGTAACTAGCTCATAGTTGGACCATTAACCAAATGAGATAAGAGACAATTACAATCACATCTAGGATATAAGAAAAAATTGTAGTAATAGTCTCTTGACTCTAGCTCAATTGGAGTAATGGTCCCTTAATTAAAAATTCATGATCAGTAACTCATCAAAACATATAGCTATGGTCATTTTCGTCAACTCCATCAGAGTTTCGTCAAAATGAGTCATGTTTGAAGGACCATTACTACAATTGGGTTAAAATTAGGGACCATTGCTCCAATTGGGTTAAAATTATAGGACCATTTCTCAAGTTGGGTTAAAGTTGTGGGACCATTACTACAATTTTTTCATTTGGTTTTTCATATTTGCCCCTTGATTCAGCCTTACGTGAGTGGTATGTGACTCATTTTGAGTAAAGTTCTAACGGGGTTGACGAAAATGACTATAGCTGAACGTTTTGATGAGTTAAAGGACCAATGGTCAAAGATTTTTAGTTAAATGATCATTGCTCTAACTGGGTTAAAATTAAGTAACCATTGCTATAATTTACTCGGATATAAATAAACTGTTGCATGATGAAGTGATCGAAGACAAATAAATGAATTAAAGTTAGAAACTGAATCATGAATCCCAGATATGTTTACTGCTCAGGCTCAGGCTCGAATTTGGAATATAAGAAGTTAATATGCTCTCTGTTTACATCCGAATTTGGGATCCTAACATATGAATTTCGAAATATACGCTAAAACTCTCTACAAGGGTAATAAATTTTGCTTAAAACTAATTAGTTTCCCGAACTATGAGACAAAACTACTACAAATGTCTAAGAAACGTACATTTTTTGTACAAACGATACTACTGGTGAGAGGTTAAACGTAAGACTTGATTGTACAGAAAAATATTGTTACTTACTTGAATTATAAATCATTATTATTGAATATGTAAATGCAATTAAGTTTGTAAACCAATAGTTAACTTAATTTTGATAGTCAAACGCCTCATATAAAGTGGAAAACCAAGAACCGGAAGCATTTACTAAGGCGGTTAGGGGTATCCATGCACGCTTTCTACTTTCCAGTCAAACCTCGGTCGTATGATGAAAGTCTGGTGGGTGAGATGTCACATGTACAACAGCCACATGCCTACTCGAAAAGAAATAACACATTCTTCACTCTCCAACACGCTCACTTACTCTTGCTAGTGGTAGCTAGCAGCAGTATTTTCCCTTCTAAGTTTTGTAAACCCAAGTGGAACCAACTACTCATTTGGTCACGCTACTATAAATGCAACGTTACATTATCAATACCCCGTAAACCATTGCTTCATCCACCCACCACCAAAAAAGAGTGCAGGGCCTGCATTGTTATCGAAAAAAAAAAAAAAAAAAAAAAAACTAGTAATATACTAGCTGAGATAGTATATTCTTGTTGTCGAAAGCCAGCTCCAAAAATGGTGAGTTCTGATTCAGTGAATTCAAGGGTTGAGACCTTGGCCGGCAGTGGAATCTCAACCATTCCAAAAGAGTACGTCAGACCTAAAGATGAGCTCGTAAACATTGGTGACATCTTCGAACAAGAGAAGAACAACGAAGGGCCTCAAGTTCCCACCATCGATTTGAAGGAGATAGAGTCTGATAACGAAAAAGTGAGAGCAAAATGCAGGGAGGAATTGAAGAAGGCAGCTGTGGACTGGGGTGTCATGCACCTTGTGAACCATGGCATCTCCGACGAGCTCATGGACAAGGTCAGGAAGGCCGGTAAGGCCTTCTTTGACCTTCCCATTGAGCAGAAGGAGAAGTATGCCAATGACCAGGCCTCTGGTAAGATTCAAGGATATGGAAGCAAGCTTGCAAACAATGCATCTGGGCAGCTTGAGTGGGAGGACTACTTCTTCCACTGTGTATACCCAGAGGACAAGCGTGACTTGTCTATTTGGCCTCAAACACCTGCTGATTACATGTAAGTACTTAAAAATCTTAGCATGCTTAATTGGTGCCACAATCATAAACCCTAGTCTAAAATTTTAATTATATCCCCGAATTGGTTAAAATTGTCAATAGTTTTATATATATTTGTAAAAGGCCCTCCTCCCCACTAGTAATTCTGGTTCCGCCACTTACTCTTGTTAACATCAATCTTTAATACCTTGGCAGTGAGGCAACCGCCGAGTATGCTAAGCAACTGAGGGAGCTAGCAACCAAGGTACTGAAAGGTCTGTCACTTGGCTTGGGATTGGATGAAGGGAGGCTGGAGAAAGAAGTTGGTGGACTTGAAGAGCTCCTCTTGCAAATGAAAATCAACTACTACCCAAAATGCCCTCAGCCGGAGCTTGCACTTGGTGTTGAAGCTCACACTGACGTGAGTGCACTCACCTTCATCCTCCACAACATGGTTCCTGGCCTGCAGCTTTTCTATGAAGGAAAGTGGGTCACTGCCAAGTGCGTTCCAAATTCCATCGTCATGCACATTGGGGACACACTTGAGATTTTGAGCAATGGGAAGTACAAAAGTATACTCCACAGGGGCATGGTGAACAAGGAAAAGGTGAGGATTTCATGGGCAGTTTTCTGTGAGCCACCAAAGGAGAAGATCATCCTTAAGCCACTGCCGGAGACCGTGTCCGAGGACGAGCCGGCAATGTTCCCACCACGAACTTTTGCTGAGCATATTCAGCACAAGTTGTTCAGGAAGAGCCAAGAGGCTTTGCTCCCCAAGTGAGGCGGGTTGTGCTAAATTATAATATTGTTGTGAACTATCGTACTAATAAATCTGTTTATGGCATAGTTGGTATGATATCTCTTGGTTTCCATAGTATGTGGGTTTTCTTTTTGCACCTGGATAAGCTACTCCTATCTGCCTGCTTTGTTGAATAATATTGATTTTATGTCCTTGTACCTGTGATGAATGGCTATTGTCAAGTCAAGATTTCAATATATGGGTACTTTCATTTTCTATGCAACTTGGCATCTTCACGTTTGCATTTTCACAACACATATATTATGATCGAACTGTTTATATATTAATCGTTAATTGTTTAAAGATTATTTTTATGGAAAGCTTCATTTTAATCCTTGGTAAAGATGACTTTTAGATTAAAATCATAAGTAAGATCAAAATCTAATTTTAGTTCATTGATACATTAATAACCTCATTTATTAATTATATTTTTATTTTTTAATTATTTCACTTTTTCTTCCTAATTTTTAATGTATTAATTTTTTATTTTTATTTCATTTATCATAATATATTTTGTTGAAACATTTAGTTAAATTAATTTTTGTTATACAATATATTTTGATGTTGTCTTCTTCATTTAGGTACATTAAATTCATTATAATACATTTTGGTGCATATATTTAGGTACACACATTTCGGTACATACATTTCGATACAAACATTTAGGTATATTAATTCAATATAATACATTTCGGTACAAACATTTAGGTACATTAATTTAATATAATACATTTCGTTGAATATATTTTGGTACATACATTTTGGTATTAACATTTAAATACATTAGTTCAATATAATACATTTCAGTACACACATTTCGGTACTAATATTTAGGTACATTAATTGAGTTTTTTAAGTTTGAAGAATGTTAAATAAAATTAATAAATTAAAAAACTCTTTTGGTAAAAGAAAAGAAATTAAAATTTTTAATAAATTTAAATATTTAATGGGAGACACTAAATAAAATGCATATTAATTATTTTGAATTAAAGACAGAACAAGGGATTATAATCAATATGTAATCTAACACCAGGTATATAAAAAATCAAAATAGAGATTTAGTTATTTACCATCATGACAATGTAAGTTGTTATCAAAATTATCGACTTGTTTAATACATATGATGAATAATCTTCAATCAAATTAGTATTTTTGCAGAAATAATTTTTTTTTTTAAAGATACAAAAATAAACGATTCTAATGATAAAAAATTTAAATAAAACTGAACTGTTCGTTTAATGACCTTTTTATAAGCCTACTCTATAAGCACACAGCACATAATGCCATGCACGGTACTATGCACCCTAAACTAATTTACTGATACTTGAGTGAGTTATTAAATTGACATAAATTTATAAGGGCATTGTCATTAACACTCTAAAAATCTCATTTGGCACTCCAAACTTTCTATAATTAGAAAGAAAAATATACTTGTGAGGAGTGTAAAATAAGATTTTTGGAATGCTAATAACAATTTCATTTTATAATATAAATATATGAATGGCCAAGTGAATAGGCGACGGTGACCTACCTTTCTTCATGCTTACAACAAATTTCAAATGACAGAACATGCACTAGCTACTTCTTCATGTGACCACATATAATATTGTTAGGCCTGAAATAACAGCTGGGCGAGATAGGTTGATCCGAGTTGAAAAGGCCATACTCCTCTAGTCAGTAAAAATCCCGCAGGCCAGTGGGCTTTTAGCCGTTCAGTTGAGTCCTCATGGAAGTAGGACTGTGAGAGGATTAAGTGTAGGTGTAGCTCAGTTGAGTCCTATGTAAATTGAAATTGTCAAAAATCAGAATAAACTTTGGATATACAAACCATGTTAGGTAAACACAGTCCCATCAAGACTTTGTCTCGGCAGGCTTGTTTATCATGGGAGCCTTTGCAACATTGAAGCCCCCTTCAAGTCGACAAACAACAACTCAAATGCTCTATGTGAAAATCATCGGTCTACACAAAAACTTCTCACAACCTTAAGAAAAATACTAATTATTCAACCCCACAACAACCCCCCCCCCCCCACCCGGGCATTAGCACGCATTCAGTTTGTTGGAACATCACTAGGTTAGCAACCAGCAACATATTCAGTTCGTTGGAACGTGACAGAGTCGTAGAATTCCAATGGAGGGAATGTAATTTGCCAAAAATAGTGGGTAATGTTATTTGATTTAAAGACCTAGATCAAATGGCCTAAAATCAATCAATTTATATTCATTATGTAATTTAAATTACCAATATATTTGCAACATGGTTTTAAAAGATGCTAGGCGCTAGTTGGGCGGTGGGTTAGGGCCTAGCGCCTAGGCAGTCTAGGTGGTTTAAGGAAATTTACCATATATCAAATAAATAAGTGTCTATTTATACTTAAAAATAATATATTGTATGAAAGTTTGGGTTATACCATTGTACTAAAATGCATATAGTGTACTCATGTAACTCATCTAATGAAATAAAAAGCATCTATCTATGTTACATCTATTTAATTAAAAAAATATAGTACGTACTAAATATTATATGAGTATTTGAATAAAAATTAATTAACAGTTCTGTTTTGTGTGTGATTACGTGGTACTAGGATTATACGAATTTTTTTTTTTTTTTTTTTTTTTTGTTGTTGTAATTATAAAGAGTTAGGATTTTAGGAATTAGGGATTTAATGCCACATAAACACCAAACACTTATTGTTTGGGAAAAAAACACCAAACACACGTCAGTTTTCCCCAAACACGTTTCACTTTACCAACTACCCAGACGACGTCGTTCTCTTAGAAAGAAAAAAAATGAAAGGATTTCAGAGGCTTCTTCTTCCTCATGAAGGTCTACAACTTAACTCGCTGACGGTGATTGATTTTTTGCTTTTGCTTGGGTTTGGCTTTCATTAAGTTTGAAAACTGACCCTATCATTGATATTTAAACCACTGGTGTATGTTGTTTTGAGATTCACAGTAACCAAAGCAAACCGCTGCGGGTTGTTCGATAGTAGGTTGATGTGCTTCCGCTGAAGCTCCACGTCGTTCAAACTGCCTAACCTGCCGCTTAGAGCCATCTAAAGCACCTAGTGAGCGCCTAGATGGCTGCCTAAATCGTCTCCAATTTTCTGAACGTCATTATATAGAGTTCAAGCTAGGGTTGAAATGACTAATTGCATAAACTCAACTCAATTAATTATGAGTGAGATCTGTACATCATTATATAGGCTTTACAAGATTGCAGTGTATCTGTTATCAAGATTACAATGGAATTCAAATTACAAAAATACATAATAGAAAGCTAAGATACACGATGATGATAGGTCATGTTGAAGGAGGACTGTGATTCTCCTCAATCTGTTGAAGACTTCGCATGTTAGAGCAACTCCAGCGTTGGAGCCCTCCCCCCTGGCAATACACTATTCAATCCACCTAATGAACAGCAATTGCCCTTAATGAACAGTAAGTAGCCCTGGCAATAGATTTTGCATCTCCACCGTTACACTTCTATAGTCCTGGCAATAGGCAATAAAATATTAGTATTTTTTTTATTTATAAAATTAATACAAAATAATTTTAAATGTAATATCGGATAAGATTTTTAATCGTTCTCGTTGCGCCACGTGTCATTATCCTAAGTATTATTAAATAATACAAAATAATACAATTATTGGTGATGGATTTCTAATAAGATTATTAACCAATCACGTCGCGCCACGTGTCATAATCGGTTCACAATCTTTGAGGATAGATTTCCATCAGATTTTAAACGAATGACGGCATGCCACGTGTCAGAATCTGTTAACAATCTTTGATGATAGATTTCCATCAGATTTTTAACAAATCACGGCATGCCACGTGGCATTATGCAGAACGTAATCCTTTCTGAATCCTCTATATAATCCACCATCCATCTTCACAAATCTCACACCAAAATTCTCAAGATCTCTATCATTATTCATAATTTCTGCTTCCTTATTCACAAAAAATCAGTATCAATATTCATAGTTTCTGTTTCTTTCTTTCAATGTCTTCTTCTTCTTCCTCAAGGATGATGTGGGAATTGAATTAGGAAGAGGAAGACTTGTTTAACCAATCAGAATCAATGTTCAATCACCAAGGGGTGAGAAATGAGAGGGAAGAAGATGAGGAGCGTCAAATGAGAGATGACGACGTAAGAAGGGGCAGAGCCTCACATTCCCGTCGAGTCATCCAAGCTGCGGCTCAGATCTGCAGGCCCAGCCGTTCCGGAAACCTTGATAGAAGCAGGCAACGACGAGGTATGGAACTCTTGGATGATTATTTTGTTCCTAATAGTGCATTCCCTGATACGTACTTTAGACGTCGTTTTAGAATGGAACGACATTTGTTCAACAAAATCATGATTGCTGTTTGCAACCATGATTCTTATTTTGTACAAAAAAAAGATGCTTTTGGTGTTATGGGTCTACTGCCGGAGCAAAAAATTACTGCTGCCTTGCGGATGCTTGCATATGGAGCATCTGCAGACCAAGTGGATGAGATAACGAGGATGGGGCAATCAACCATTCTTGAGTCCCTGATAAGGTTTTGCGAAGCAATCGAATCTATCTACACCGCTGAGTACCTCCGCAAACCCACACACATGGACTTGGAGCGGCTGTTGAAGAAGGCGGAGATGCGTGGCTTTCCTGGGATGATTGGAAGCATTGATTGTATGCACTGGACGTGGAAAAATTGTCCAAGTGCATGGCAAGGCGCTTACGGGGACAGAAAAGGGGCAAAAAGTATCATTCTGGAGGCGGTGGCATCTTTTGATACATGGATTTGGCACGCCTTTTTCGGGGTCCCGAGAGCTCAAAATGACATCAACGTCCTTGCCCAATCCCCAGTGTTCAACGATGTCCTGCAAGGAAAGGCACCAAAAGTTACATATGAGGTCAACGGACGTATGTACGACGGGCCATACTACCTAGCTGACGGCATCTACCCGCGCTGGTCAACATTTGTCAAAACAGTGCCACGTCCGCGGAGTGCCAAGGAAAAACACTTTGCAAGCTGTCAAGAGGGGTGCAGGAAGGATGTGGAGCGTTGTTTTGGTATCCTCCAAGCTCGCTAGGCGATCGTCAGGGGTGCTGCCAGATTGTTTGATGTAGAGTCGCTTCGATCCATCATGATGACGTGCATCATTCTTCACAACATGATTGTGGAAGATGAGTACGATTATGAAGCTGTTGATGAATATGAGCCAGACCCGATG